TGATTGTATTGTCTACAATACAATCTCTTGAACGAAATAGAAAAGAAGAATTTGAAGTACATTGTGAAATTGATGCAGCAATTAAAATATGTAGCAAGTATGAAATCGATGCGTTAAAAATATACGAAGATCGTCATAGACGAAGAGTAACTCCAAAACGCTATGATGACAATCCTGATACGCTATGTTCTAGAAATATCTATCAATACTACACCCAACAACTTAATTGCGTGTTAGACTGTCTTATTTACGAAATGAATGAAAATTTACTGGCTTCATGGTTGAGCATTGAACCATTTTCTCTTCTTCAGCAGTCAACAAAAACCTTTACAATAAAAGATGTCGAAAAACTGTGCCTATTAATGCCAAATAATGGAGTAAATACAGATGCTCATTTATTTCATGCAGAGTTAGAAATTTTTATGAACACATTTACTAAATCTGATGCTCCAACAAACAATGAAAAATTAAAACTGTCGTGGCAAAGACAAAACATATTCCCAGGAGTTTTCAAAGCTTTCAAGCTAATGGCTTCAGCACCAGTGTCTGTTGCAAGCGATGAAAGAACATTTAGCAAATTAAAAATTGTTAAAAATATTTTGCGTTCTACTATGTCAGATGCAAGATTGGCGTCATTAATTTTGTTGGCGTCAGAAAAAGATTTAGTGGACAATATAGACCTTGACGTGTTGGTAAAAAAATGGTCTATAACAACACAAAGACGTATTCAAATTGAATAATTGATTATGCAGTTTTGCGTTTTATACGTTAACTTTGTTGTTGTTTGTATATGCTTTTGAAATACTGTAAATTTCATTTGCATTGTAAAATTGATATAATCTTTCAGAAAAAATATATTTTATTTCTTTTAACGTGTTACAGGTAGTAAATTAAGAATGCAATTATGATTTTGAAAATTTTTCCAAAAAAAATCCTTTTTTCAAAACAAGAAAAATTTTTGTCGGTTAATTTGACGACTGCACCCCCCCAGTCTTTGTATGCTAGATACGGCCCTGTCAATAAGCCACTGTCATGTATATGAAAACACTTGGCTCAGTGTGAGATTTATGTATTGTGGATATATTATTCGTTTGCCACAAAAAAAAAAGTCAAAAAATGTTTAATCTTTTTGGGAAATGCAATAGAAAAACTTTCAAATTCTACATGAAGTCACTTAAGGTCCGTAAATAAAACTCTACTTTAATGCGGTTGTTTTTTTTAACGTATAAAATATACAGCAAACTACGAAGATTTGCGTTCGATATAAAATCTGTTTACCCATAGTCAATAGAATATAACTATGGTCTGGAAGTCCATTGTTATTTCTTTTTGTTACGCTGCGCATGTTGAAATGAATAGTTTTTAAATCACGTGACCAAAGAGTGTGCAAAACATTTATATCATGGCGTCAAATAACGAGTTTTTAACACAGGAGTCTGCAGATTTATTGATAGATATTTAGGATGAAGGTCTTTTAGATGAAGAATTTATTATTGCAAATATTGTAGATGTTGGAGAGGTAAGCAAATTTATGCAAAAACTATATTTAATTAAAAAAATAAGCTATGTAAATATACATTACTATAGATTTCTTTTCTTATAGGAGTCAACACCAGGCAGTTTTAAGTGCGACGACTGAGGGAACATTTGTAAATCAAAAGGGTGACTTACTCGTCACCGAAACTGTAAACATTTACAACTAAAAGAGACCTTTGATACAAGTAGAAATACAATGAGTAGCATAATACTAAGTGATTTAGTTCTGGAGTCACAAAAAAATCTATCTGAGGATAACTGTTTCAAGTGTTATAACTTCATACGCAGATGTAAAAAAGCACTTTACGCAGATGTAAAAAAGATTTATGACATTTTGATTAATACAAACAATGCAGAGAGTTATTATTCCAGCTTTTATAATAAAATAGTAATCAATGCAGATGTTTACTTTCCTGAATTAGGAAAACCCAATAGTACTCTTTTAGCAACACAACTGGCTGACAAGGTGCTTGCATACTTCAAAAGAATGCCCAACAAGGAAGCAAAACAAATAAAAAATATAACAAATGATGAAATTGGTGCCTTGCAATATCTGGCTGGGTATGTTGTCAGAAAGTTCATTAAGAAATCGAAAAATAGCCTGAATTATAAATCCAATGAAAATCAAGATATAATAAAAATATTAAATAACGCTATTAGCAAAAATTCTACAGATCAGGAATTGATTGAGGCACAAAATCGTGGTGGACTAACAGCTGTTAATAATGAATGCCAGCAAATATTTGTAAAAGCTGAAATTCAATTTCGAAATGAAACAAATATTAATCATTTGCAAGAAATTGATATTAACAGGATGACTTTGGAACTACTGAAAGATACAGAAGTAGTGAGCTTTTATAACTCTATCTTAACAGGATGCGGAGTTGACATTGATAATGATGTTAGTAAAAACCTTTTAGAAAATATGGTCAAACTTTATTTTCGAGTGCGAGCATTTTCTTTGGCTAAAGACATTACCACCAAATATAAACTAAAATTGAAACAAAAAAATAATAAGGGTGGTCTTCGTAAAACTCTTAAAAAACAATCCAAAGAGTAACAAGCATGGTATATGCCACTTGTTATGTGTTTATTTATTAATAAAATTATGTATTTAAAAATATATCATCAATTATTTTCATATCTTCTCAGATTCTGTTGTTTTTTTTTTCTTGCTCATACACCTTTTTCCTAATGGTTCATCAGAAGCGATTCTCCACGATACTTTACGCTTTTGTATATGAGCTCCTATGGTATTTCCAGTAACAGGTGCTACAGATCGTTGCATTCTGATAGCATTTGATTGGTATCCCAACTGAATGAGGGTAGGGTTATCATTTCGGCGACCAAGGCTGCGATGCCTCCTAAAGTATTCCTCCAGGACATCTTGGGTAAAACGTTCAGTCAATACGAAAGGTATTCCGCTAGTTAATAAAAACTTGGTAACTTCAATTAAAGAATTCACAGTTATATGGAGACCTTCTTATGTTTGTAATGAAATAAACATTTTTTCACGTTCACCCCGATGGAAATTCCCAGTTCTATTTTTAATATTTTCTTGCCAAGTTTCAAAGTATTTTAGAAAAGTGTTCTTGAGCCAATCAAAGCGAGCATCGTTAACATTGCGGTAGGGCAACAAAAATTCTTTTCTTTTCAGAATGCCTTCCTTTTGATTTCGAGTAATCGTACAATCAAAAAATTTATCCATTAATTCACATATCTGTGCTGTTACATGGGTTTCTGTGGGATACTTTAAGCGTAAGACATTTGAAACGCTTTTGCTAAGAATTTGAGCTGCTAATCGAACATTCATAACAGAAAAAGAATTTAATTGAACATGCTCTAAGGTCAATTTAGGCAGCAACTTTAAATCTCATAAAATATCATCATTCACTAATTTCACGAAATAACTCCATATAACTTTTTGTTCATTCCATAAATTACGTGTATGATTTTCACTATCTCCAGAATGATGCAATGAATTTCTAAATGTTTTTATAAGATGTGGTGCATCAGAAAAAATATATATGTAGCGGTCTGCAAATATATTTTTTGAACGGTACACAACAAATGATTCAATGTTATCCATCCCTTTGTGCATTTTGTAGAACAGTCGATTTGGAGAAGCACCATCAGACACAGCAGCAATTACTTTAAGAGCACTTAATTCCAACACAGACACTGCTTTCCAAAAAGTAGACATAATTTGACTTGCAGTAACACCTTTAGTAGCAAAATATGCCAAAGCAAACTTTAAATCGGAAGCAACACCTCTAATATAGTAAACTAAGCAGTGAGAAGCAAGGTCATCAATGTCTTTGAAAGTGCTATAATTTAGATGCGGATCTCCAAGATCAACAAAGCCAATAAGCTCATTTGAGTGCTTGTCATACACTAAATTTTCACTAATTTTGATTTCATCAAAAGAGAGTACTATAAATCTTTGAACATCATTTAAGTTGTTAGTGATCAGTTTGAGTTCTTCAATTACATTAGGATTGAACCCGACTGATGGACGTATTGCATTTTTATAATCACTAAGAGTCCTTCGACTTGGCAGAGTGAGTATCATGGAATTCCAAAGTTCATCATATGCTGATGCTGATTTCATGAAAAGCGATAAGCAGAATCTGATAATCATAGGATGATATTTTAAACTCTTCTGATTAGTAGAAGCTTTTTTTTGCTCTTCCCAGAATAATTTCATAAATGGAGTCATATTCTGGTTGTTGGAATCCATAATGTGATTTATATCATTAATAAAATCTTTGTTGAGTTCCACACCCTTTGCATCAATTTCTTTTCTCATTCGATAAATTTTTTCTTTTAATTCTTTGGTTTTAACTCGTTCTTGTTGTAATGCAAGAACAATTCTTTTCTTTGATGTTTTTGTAAGAGGAGCTTTTAACTTTGCTGCAGTGTTATCAATCTTTATTTTAGATTTAAATTGTTTTTTCATTAATATTTTAACTTTTTTACAAATATCACATTCACTTTCTTCATGTAAAACCCTACAATCTTTATGTCTTTTTAACTCTTTATATTGCATAGGAGATATTGTATCAAGGTCGTAATCAAAAGGTATAACATGATTCAATACGCTGGAATTTATTATTTCTTGATCAATTCCTTTGCAAACATTGAGCAATGATATTTTTTGCAGTAAGTTCTGTATCAATACATTTGTCATACTTCGTTTAAAATCTTTGTAAATTATATGATCATCTGGAAGTTTCCAACCAAACACCAAACATGTAAATTCCAAAGAATCATTTACTTCGCACTTCCAAAGAATCATTTACTTCGCACTTCGGTAGAGAAAATGGTATCTCAAAATTTTTAAACTGAGCAATTTGCTTGTTATCGTCAATTGTAACCTGCCAGTTATATACATTCTTTAATTTTGTTGCACGAGACACAAAGTCTTCCCAGTGCTTGTAACAAACAGCTTTTTTGGTTTTCGGTTAATTAATACAAACTTTTTCGAGTTTTCTTCGCTCAGCTGTGAATGTTTCATGTGATTTCACAGGTAAATTCAATGTTGGAACTGAACCAAGTTTCAATGTTTTGCGACCAGATTCTATAAATGTATATCAATCAATATATTTTGTCTTTAAAAGCTGCACGCACACACACACACATATATATATACAATTGTGAGGGACATTTACAAACAGTTATAAATATATATATACATATACAAACAGTTATATATACATACATATATATAAATATATATATATATATATATATATATATATATATATATATATATATATATATATATATATATATATATATATATATATATTGCCTAAGGAACCTTTGGGTTGTGTTATTCTCACATAGCCCAACTAATGGTTCATACAGTAACTAGAAACATTTAGCTGTTTACCTTGCAAATATGTTATAAGCCTCAGGCATTTTGCAGAGGGTAATTAAGAATCAAAAGGTGCATACTTAATTACTTAAATACATATATACATACCATACATACATACATATATATATACATATATATATATATATATATATATATATATATATATATATATATATATATATATATATATATATATATATATATACATATATATATATATACATATATATATATATACATATATATATATACACATATATATATATATATATATATATATATATATATATATATATATATATATATATATATATATATATATATATATATATATATATATATGTATATATATATATATATATATATATATATATATATATATATATATATATATATATATATATATATATATATATATATATATATATATATATATATAGCCCAATACTAACGTTTTGTAAAAGCAACATTATATTGCGATAACCAACATTCGAATTAAAAATAAAATTACTTGTCAACTCAATATCTTCAGGTTTAAAATGACGTTCACATATATAAACACGACCAGCATCAATCCTCTCCTGTAATGACTTATCTATTTGACGGTATTTATTTAAAACTTTAACGATATCATTTTTCCAGTCAGACTCACACTTTCTTGTTGGAATTCGGAAGCTGCTCATAAAGCTGTGCTTACTTGTATAAGAAACTGTACACGTTGGAAAAGCACAATTCCTGCCAGGCATAACTTGATTGTAGCTTTGAATAAAACTGTGTTAACTTTATTTATATGAAATTTGTTGGTTTGTTTGAACTTGGTATGTTTATTTGAACTTTGTTTTGCACACTCTTATATCACGTGACACAAATAAACGCGAACAATAACATAAAACAATGGACTTCCAGACCATAGTTATATTCTATTGACTATAGTTTACCAAACTAAGACGTAAGCTAATTGTTTTTTAACAAATAGTTTAAAACATATTTCATTTAGAAACTTAAATCGAAAAATAGTTTCTTCTTTTATTTTTTAGTTATATAATAAATTCATATTGTCATATTAGCATGAGCTCAAAAATACTTGGACGACCTGTGAAAGTTTTAAACAAAACTCGTATTAATAGTGGAAGATTTGCTGGAAAACCCTCTGATTTACCCGTAAGCGATCTACCAACTTATGAACAGGTCATTCAATACGGTTACAAGGTTGAGAAAGAATTGTTTAATGGACAGAAACCTGACTCTGTATCAATCGTAACTAAAGTCAATAGTGACTTGTAACAGCTTTGGTGTAGGGTTAATCCAAATCTACCTCTGATAAAAGATAAACCATTGAAAAATAAAATATCAAGAACATTTCTAAAGGTGTTGTCTGCAGAACGAACTCAATCTAAAAACCATAAGTCCAGTATAAGCTGGCTAGAAAAGAAACTGGAAACATTGTTTGATGTGTCTGCTTGCCGGTGCGATCTTCCAATTATTGATGATTGTCATGATAGGTAAACATACATTTTTTAACGTTTTTTATTACAACTTTTTTTAATGTTAAGTGAAAAAGATTTTGTAAAGGTAAATGAAAATTTACGACCCCATCCCTCTGCCTTCTACTAAGGTATTAAAGTAAGGCATACAACCGTAAACTAACGGATGTAAGCCTATCCAATAAATAGTTTCTATATTGTTTTGATTTTAAAGTAGAATAATATACGTTTAGACGAATTGGATGTCGGAAAAGTAATTGCACAATGAAACACATAGTTTGTCTCTATGAGGAAAGTATAAAGGTAATTCATGCCATTTTTGTGTTGATATTATTAAGCATTTACAGTTAAAATTCATAATAATGTAAGGTTTGGGAAAATAAAATAATCTAAAGTCATTTTAAATATCGCTGCTCTTTTACAAAGTTATGTTACAATTATTATTGATTACTAATCATTTGACCGTTAATTCTTTCTATTTACTTTAAACTTAAATACGTTCAATTTTAGAATATTTGACTTATTTTAGGTCCCTGTTCTGGAAAGAGAATATTTAAAGGACCAAAGATGCAAGATAGGACCAAAAGGAAGTTGGCAGTTAGACAATGTGGACCATGTGGAGGCAACAAGGAACGCCAAAAAGTATATTAGAGAGGAAAACGAGGCAACTAAAAAGCTAATTAGACAAAAAAATCTTCAAGAAACATTAGAAGTCGATTCAAATGGTAGTTTTAGTGCTGAATCTTTAAGTTTAGGTTCAACTGAAAGTGAAGAGTTTGAGGAGCAAATACTCAGTAAAAGAAATTATACCGAATTAACTAATTTGGCCAAAGCTGCAATAAGATACGAAGTAAGCGATGCTGCAGCAGCTACAATAGCAACAGCTGTATTAATTGACTACGGAATAGTAAGTAAGAGTAAAAAATCTCAGATAGTGACAGAATATATGTGAAAAAGCACGAGTGGCTAAATCAATTGACACTACGCATCGTCAAAAAGTTTTAGAAATAAAGGTAATTGGTGTTGATAGCAAGAAAGACAAAAATTCATTAGTTCATGTCATGAAATACAAGAGCAATGGGGACCCTTTTTTTTATCGAACCACCAATGATGAACATCATCTCACTTTTACTTGTGAAAATTATCCATTCATTGGAAATTATCTCACACATGTGATAATAGAAAATGGTAAAGGTGGTACTATGGCTCTAGCAATATTAAATGTGCTTTCTGAATACAACAGTGTTAAAAGTTTAGAAGCGATTGTTCTTGACAATACAAGCTCTAACACTGGCGTAAATAATGGTTTAGTTGTAAAATTAGAAAAGCTTTTGAATCGTAGCATTCATTTAGTTGGATGTTTGCTTCACCAGGGTGAGTTACCTCTTCGTCATGTTATATCTGAAATAGATGGACAAACTAATGATCCAAAAAAATACAAAGGTCCTATTGGTATACAAGCGTCTAATATATTCATGCATTAACAACCTTTGGTTCAGTTTATTCCTATAGATTCCGAGATAGAGTTTTATGTAAATCCCGCCATTGTTTGCGATCTGAGTACAGACCAGCGTAAACTTTATGAGTATTGCATTGGTATAGCTAAAGGTTCAATTTCTGTGAAGCATGCTAATAAGAAACCTGGTCCTGTCTGTCATGCACGCTGGCTAACCCTTGCTTTAAGAATTATGATGGTTTATGCAAGAACTGAGATACCTACACATGATCTAAACTGCATCACAAAGTACATAGTCCAAGTCTACTGTCCAATGTGGTTTGCTGTAAAAAGTTCAGCGCATTACAAAGATGCACCAAAGCTTCTCCATAAAACAATACAGTTAGTCAAAAAACATGATGACAGAATTAAAAAGATTGTATTGAAAAATATTCAGGGTAACTCCTATTGCTGCTGTCAAGAAAACTTTCTTTACACTATGCTATTAGACGATGAAAAAGTTGTACGAGATCGTGCTCTCAATAAAATCTTGGAGATTAGGTTATCTAGAGAAACTAATCCAGACTTTAAGCCTAAAATCCAAGCTAAGACAATTATGACCTTGAACTTCAATGCTGATGTTTGGACCGACTTAATTGAAGTTTCTTCAATACAAATTGAACCTCCCACTACAATTTTTGTTTCTTCAAACGAATTAAAACAAGCTATTCAAACCGGAAATAAACTTTCTATAACTGACTTGCCAAACAATTCTCAGTCGGTAGAAAGAGCTGTAAAACTTACATCTGAAGCTTCTAAAAAGGTTTATGGACGGGTGAAGAGACATAACTTCATTTTGGCTAAAAACCAAAGTAGAGCCGAAAACAAGCGAAATGTGAAAAAGTCTGAATATTGTATACTTTTGTCAGAGTAATTTAACAATCTTGTATAATGCAAATATAATATATATATATATATTGAATACAATAAATAAATATAATATATGAATTTTTCTATGACTCTCGATGATTAGCACACATAAATTTGAGTTCAATATACTATTTTATGAAAATACATTCAAAAACGTTATTCCAGCATCAAACTTGGTTTAACTTTCAGTGTAAAGTCTATAAAAGCGTTCAAGTTCCTGTATAAGCTAAAAAGACCCTGACCCAAGCTAATTTTAAACACCAACAATTTTGAAGACCTTTTTGTTAACAATCGAGTTTAAAACTAGAAATCGGATTTTCTAGATTTGAACTAAAATTTTATAAAACTTTTCATAAACATCTGCGACGGAAACTTTTTACAAAACCTCGTTTCTACTTGGCATTAGCCAATAAGCTTTTATAAAACATCGTGAAAACGAGGCAAAACTTGTAACAAGTTTCAGTCGCAGATATTTATGATTTTGCGAAATATTTAATTAGTTTAAATGTTTGAAAAAAATATACAAGTAATAGAAAACTTTAAAATGATTTCCCAAAATGTTTATATATATGGTTTACATAAATCCCAAAGTTAGCCAACATGCTTTAGAAAAAAAAGTTTGCTTAGACAGTGGCTTACTCCTCAATTGCAGCACCCTTTATGGCCTTTATGGCCAAAATCAGCTTTTTCTTTCAACTCTGAAATTAGGGAAACATGAGATTGTAATTCATTTTAAAAATTAAATACTGACTGAGTGTATATCATCTAACACTTTGTGTGTATTGATTTAAATAAATATTTTGTTTATTATGACTAAGATCTAGTGTACAATTTAGATGTTCTGTTGCTGTTTCTGTAGGATATGTTTTTCACTTGCTTCATAGTGAGAAGTTATGAGTTCTATCCTTACCATGTTTTTGGTAGTAACCCGGAGGTGAATAACAATAAAAAAAATAAAATAAAAATAACTTAATACAAATACATAAAAAATTGTTTACCCATTTCGTGACTTGAGACTCAAACTTATGAGAGTCAGTGTTAGTTATAACCCAGCCGGCAAATAACGTTGAAATAACGTTGAAATATCGTTGAAACCTAACGTTGAATTAACGTTGATTTAACGTTTAGAATGAAAGTTTTTTTCAACGTTGATTTATCAACGTTAAATCAACGTTAGATTCAAACATTATATCAACGTTGATTCGACGCAAAAAAACGTTACAACAACGTTGAATTTACGTTGAGACAACGTTTACAATGATAGTGTTTAACGTTGATTTATCAACGTTAAACGACTGTAAAACACTTTTTTACCATCAAAACGTGCTATGTATGTCAAAATGTATATATGTATGTAAACGTGCTATATGCGTCAAAATATGATCACCACCAAAACGTACTATGCATGTACATTAGTGTTGCTGTACATTATCAAGGTATATTATGGATATTAAATCTATTCTTAGTCTATACTTAGACTATTTAGAACTTTTTCAGTTTACTTTAGTTAAATTAGCTAGGTATGATTAAAGAAAGAGATAAAACTTGTTTTATTCAAAAATACATATTCAAATATTACATATATTTACATGTAATTGAATAAAATCCACACAAATTTCTCTCTTTTCCACCACCTTTTTGAAATAAAGCGTAATTTAGAAAGTCAAATAATGTTCCATTAACCGAGGGTTCTTTTGGTCCATTGAATACAATAGAAAAAGCTGTAAATAAAAAAAATATATTAAAAAACAAAACAAAAAGGGAAGATTTAAAAAATAAATAATGAATGGAAAAGTGTTACAACTTATGAAGGTATATCTTTTTCAACGCCATATAGATTAGTGTTCTTAAAACATATTTTTCCACCTTTGCCCTTCATATCCATGGAGGCCATATAACTTTTCGAAAATATTCTGAATTTTTAAAAAATAATATAACTGTTAGTTGGTTATTAATAACTTTTTCAAATATTTAATTTAAATAAAACAACCTTTTTAATATATTAAAAATAAATTAATAATCAAAATATAAAACATTTCTAGCATTGAAAAATAATTTTCGGGGTGGCCACATAAAATTTTTATAAGAAATTTTATGTGGCTATTTATTAATGATTTAACGTCCGTGTTTATACACTTATGGGGCTTGGACAGGGATCAAATAATGTCATTTGTTATGTTAAATAGCATGCATTTTCTAAAGCAATTTTTTACAATTCCATGCACTTTAAGGCGTTAACCAGTTTTGCAGACCGAGAATGGGTATTTTGAACATTATACATCCATCAAAAATTAAAAAAGGAAGAATTAATGAGGAGCTTTGATCAAATTTTTACCTCTTTAGAGGATAATAGAGGATTTTAGAAGTGGTTTTAAAAAAAGAGGACTTTAGAGGATTTTAGAGGAGCTGCAGACACCCTGATTATAAATGAGGTAATTCCACCAATTAACTGTAATTGATTTATCTGTAAAAAAAACATGAAGTAAATCTAATATTATGCTTGTGGAGATATTTTATATTGTGGAGAACTATCCAAACCACACAAGTGGAAAATTTGCATCCAAGTTTCCACTTGTGTGCAAATCTTGCATCCACTTGTCAACATTCTCATTATCATATTTTGTAGTTGTGAATTTAAAATTTTCACAATACTGTTTGGTTTCTTTTAGAATTGAAATAGTTATACAAATAGTTATATATTTTGTATCAACAAAATAACTCTTCTTACCACATTATTTAAAAAACAATAATTGTAATATATAGATGTAATACCTGAAGAGAATTTAGTTTTTATTTATATAAACTTAAGCCAATTCTTCTCTGCATTTTAGTGCAGTTAATGCTTTGGTACCTGGAAGCCGACAAACAGTTTTATCACTAATCCAATTAGATGGAATTACTTCTTCTTGTAAATCTTCATTCCAAACAGCTCT